TTTTAAAATAATTAATTATAGTATTTAAAAAAATTTGTTTATAAAGTAATTTTAATATGTTAAATAATAAATACTTACAAACTGTTTTTGTAGAATAAAAATCTTTCCATGTCATAAGTAGGAGTGATTAAGTTGAGGATTTAAGTTTTTCATATAATATTTTAAAAAATTAATTTTCTTGAAGAGCTTGGTTTTTGTTAGTTGGATTTCTAAAAAATTAAAACTATTTAAAAAAAATTATGTTGTTTTATTAAAATATCACAGAAAAAAACCAAAATGAACTCAATCTTGATTTAAAAAATAAATTACCTTAGTATTTTTAGTGAAAATTTATTAAAACAATATTATTTTAAATTTTTTTTCTTTTATTTTCTTAGAAAGTTGCCTAACAAACACTTTTTTTCTTTCTTGACTGCACTAGGGCGTCGAAATGAGTGATTAGTTTGGATGTTCGCAAAAAACTTGTTTGGTTAGAAATTGACTTTACTAGAAAATTAATTGAAATATTATTGTATAAAAAGTTGATAAATTTTATAATGAAATTTTATTAGACTTATATTAGATCGCTAATTTTTTATATTTGATAAGAAATTAAACTTAAGAAAAGTTGGTAAGAAAATTATTAAATGAATCACATATGACATAAGAAGTTGGTAGAAATATTTTTTAAAAAAATATACTTCTTTTGTCTCAAAATAACTGTGTTTTTTTATTTTGAATTTATTTTAAATTATTTTTTTTATTTTTAAGGTAAACAAATATTTTTTCTTTATTTAATTCTATTATTATCTATTTATTTTAATTAATTATTCTATTACAAAAAATTTAACTTTATCCATTTAACTTTTTTTTAAAGTAATAGAGGTAAATTCATAAATTGTTCTCAAATGATTAATTTAAAAGAAAAATAAAAATAATAGTTATTTTAAGAGAAAATAAGAAGAAAAGTCTTTTTTTTTTTTTAATGTTGTGTTGAAGGAAAAGTTACTTATTAGTAATTGTGGTAGAGAAAATAAATATTAAAAGTGCCACTTTTTTTTTATTATAATATTAAGATGTAAAATTACATATTCCATAAAAAAAAGTAAAATTACATAAATAACTTTAAAGAA